TGTCTGGTGTCGATTGTGTATTGTGATTTCTCCAGGTTGGAAAGTTAGGACCCAGATGATTGATTTTTCCTAAATTTATTAATTGATTAAGGGCGTTTCCCACGACGTTATTATTTGTATTGTCAAAAATCCTATGTCTGGCGTTAAAGTCTCCTAAGATGTACATCGGATGACTATTGTTAGCCAATTTTAATAGGTCTTCTATAGGTAAGTAGTAGCAATAATTACGTCTCCTTGAGTTGTATTTATTTTTATTGCTAGAAATTCATCCTGGAAGTCATCAATTAGTTTAAATTTTAAGTTTCTTTTAACCGCTATCGCTACTCCGTCATTTTTCTCGCTCGATTTATTTCTTTGGTTTACATAATAGTTAAAGAGTTTTATGTTGTTGTTTTCTGTCTCACCGTGACTGTTTATTAGTATAATGTCAGGGTCAATTTCATGATATATATTACTTAGGTTAATTCTCTCGGTCTTCCAGTTTCTTACGTTGTGTTGTATTATTCTTAAAGTTCTTACTGTTTGTCTATTGTCCATTATTTCTTATACTTGGATTGTGACTGTTGGAGTGGAGACCTATCGTCCTGTTTCCCGCTTCTGGGCTCTTCACCTATACTCTGACGGGTCTACTATTTTAAAATCTTTGGCCGTAATCTTTAGTTTGTCATAGTAATTAGTGACCAGACATAATCTTCCTTAGGGATTTTTTCTTGATATGTCCACTTGTATATCCCTCCTTCACAGTTTTTTACTATTGTCCTCCTGTTGGTCTCGATGTTGGGATTCATGTTTTTGTTGTAGTGATAACTTTTAATCCAATTTCTTCAGCAGATTCAGGTTGTATGTGTGATCAGTTTCCATCTTATCTTCTCTCCTCCTCTACTCCTTTGTCTGTCCTTTTTGTTATTTTCTATCTTCTCTTTGTCACTTCTAGTCATTTGTCTGGGATCTCCTATCAGGTCCTTGTGTTCGCCCGTGTATCAGCTGTTGCTCAAGCCTTTGTTCGTCTTGATGTAGTCTTTCTCTCAGTTCGCTTGCATATATTTGTCTGAAATAGTTTTTCGGATTGTGGATTCTCTGGAAATATCATCTCTGGTAGGTTATTCAATTTAAACATTTTTCATAATTCCTCATTTGTATGATCGGGTGCAATGATATTATTACTAAATGTGCATGGATCGCCTAATCATTCTATATCATGTATTGGCTCACTTAGGTTTAATATGGTGGATTCTGGTCTATGAGCCTCTTGGACCGCTCTCTTTGCTATTTCGACGTATGTCGTATCCTTCTTGTCTTGTTCCTTTTTCCTTGTTTCTTGTTCCTTGTACTTTATCATGTGTTTTTTATTGGGCATGCCATTGCTAACGTCCTATGTCCTATGTATGCATTCCCGTTTCTCTTACAGTTGAGACAGCCAACATGTGTATTCTTACATTCAGTGTAGGTATGGTCGTCGCCTGCACAATCTGAGCAGTACTTTTTTCTTTTTCCGGACAGTCTCTCGTTGTGTGTTCTTCATATTTGTAGCAGGAGAAGCAAGTTTGCAGACTGATGAATGTCTCCTTCTTTATTTGATGTGGTGTGACTGACATGTTGAATATTAGAAAGCCCTGTTGTAAAACTTTCTCAGCCATTGACACTTCTTCAAACATGAGTATAGTCCTTTATCTTAATGACTTCTTCAATCTTCATCCACCTATTTTGGCGTTCCAGTTCTTCTTTCAGGTCTTCCTCCCGATCTCTTGATCGACTGACGAACAAAAAACTGATCTTTTTGCTTTTTGTTCTGGTGGCATGACAACAATAAGGCCTTCATTGTAAAATATATCTCTTGCTTCTTTTGAAAGGATTTTATCTGAATCAAAGTCATCTTTACAGATTACTTTAAAACCTTCATTGGTGCTGAATATTCTAGTTACTTGCAGTTTGTTGTAAGTGATTTCTGCCACTTTTCCCCTTCCAATAGAGTGTCCCTTATCTCTATGTTTTATTCTAATGCTAGTTGTCATCTTCTTGATTACATCTAATCCTACCTATAACACAGGGCTCCTGCCTGGGAGCAGTGACCCGCCCCCCCTCTTGGACGGGCGTCGGGCTCTGCACCCAGGTTACCTGTGACTATAGTAATATCTAAAAAGTTGCCACTACCGGTGACCCCCGGACAAGGGGTGCCCTGCACTATCACAGGTTCCCTTGCCGGATCGAGTCCGCCTCCGTTCAAAGAACGGAGTGCATGAGGGGATGAAAAAGGAAAGAAGAGGACTTAGAGAGTAGAAACAGCCTACCTACCACGCCACGTTCGGTCAGCCAATCAGAGTACCGCAGTAAACGTGCATGTATCACGCCACCGTGGGGCACCACTGATTGGCCAATCCAGGACGTAGACGCACGGGTAGTAGTCAAAATTTGGGTAGGCCAAATATTTGTTTTTTCCAAAGTTGGAATTTCCCGTACAATCTGTGATGGTAATTACACCGTCACTATGTTGAGTAAGTACAATCACTAGGATTGAGTGTCTTATCACAACAAAGTTGCAGACTCAAACATGCAGCAAAAGAATCAGGTCTTTAGGCCCGCGGTCTATTTTACTTTAGGCTAGCATACTCTGTTGTGCCAAACTCCCCCTTGCCAATACAAGAAGGAAGAGGATTTATAGTCTAATAAACAATCCATCATGACCAAATACAGTATCTAACATAGGGGGTCTGGGCGCAGCCCCGGTTAGCAACTAACCATTTGATTGCATTGTTTCTGAGAATAGTTAGCAATTATCCATTTGATTGCATTATCCCAGGTTAAGGGGGGGTTGTGTGGTTCCATATCACCAGATTTATTAAAAACTCTACGCCAGGCTAAACAGCTTTAGCTAGATAGTGGTGGCTGCTTGATTATTTCTTTGTCTCTTATTGGATTCCTGGGTGGCTAACCCCTATAAAATTGAGGACACCAATAGATCTTTGTACTAAGGTTAGGTTAAACAGACACTTTTGTTGTAATGGAGATTTCGCCATCGGGGAGCGTGATTTGTAAACTCTCCGGCGAAAAGTAGTGGTTAGGTTAGGGCGGTCTGGTAGTGGTTGGTTAGTTGCCTATTATTATTAATGTTCTATAAAATTTAAGGTCCCTGTTGACTTTAATACCACGGTCAGGCTAAACAGTTTAGGGTTGCTTGGATTATTTCTTTGTCTCTTATTGACTTCTGGCATAACCTCTATAAAATTCGGAGGACACCAATAGGATCTTTTTTGTACTAAGGTTAGTTAAACAGGACACTTTGTTGAATGGAGGATTTCATTATCGGGGAGCGTATGTGACGAAACCTCCGGCGAAAGTAGTGGTTAGGTTAGGCGGCCCGGTAGTGGTTGGTTAGTTGCCTGTATTATTATTATTATATAAAATTTAAGGTCCCCGTTAGACTTTACCACGGTCAGGCTAAACAGTTTAGGCTGCTTGGATTATTTCCTTGTCTCTTATTGACTTCGGGTGGCTAACCTCTATAAAATTGAGGACACCAATAGACTTTGTACTAAGGTTAGGTTAAACAGACACTTTTGCTGTAATGGAGGATTTCGCCATCGGGGAGCGTGACGAAACCTCCGGCGAAAGTAGTGGTTAGGTTAGGCGGCCCGGTAGTGGTTAGGTAGTTGCCTGTATTATTATTATTATATAAAATTTCAGGTCCCCCGTTAGACTTTACCACGGTCAGGCTAAACAGTTTAGGCTGCTTGGATTATTTCTTTGTCTCTTATTGACTTCGGGTGGCTAACCTCTATAAAATTGAGGACACCAATAGACCTTGTACTAAGGTTAGGTTAAACAGACACTTTTGCTGTAATGGAGGATTTCGCCATCGGGGAGCGTGACGAAACCTCCGGCGAAAGTAGTGGTTAGGTTAGGCGGCC